GGGTGGCAAAGCCCACACATGTGAACCTGAGACTCCCAGAGAGGCACAAGACAGAAGATGTAGGTGTTGAATCGCTCAGAAAAGTAGTTGACGAAATTAATGGCAGGCTATATCCCTGCAACCTGAATCAAAAGATGAACTCGTAATCCTTATTCTCAGATAATCCTCCAGTTGCATTTTATAGACGTGTGACTAGGATCATACAATGGACTTCTCAGTTACAAAATCAGTGGTTCTTAAAAGAAAGCAAATCTCAGAACAGTGCATGTAGTGTGATTGCAATGAAGTCAAAGGAAAGGTGTCCGTGTGTGGGGGTGTGTAGACAGCACAGATCTGGGCTTCCCAGACATCATACCCACACAGCTCGCCATCTCCCCAGGGTTTAGCCGACAGCATTCCACGTAAGAGTTTCTTCTAGAGCTGCTTCAACTCTGAACACTGTTTCCAAGTGAAATGTTTTAGAAGAAAAATAAAACTCTTGCTTTTATCAGAATTCAGGTTCTTTCTCCTATTGTCAATCATGTATTTCCTCCCTTTGCAATCAGCAGATGGTTTTGGTTTTCTTCAGTGTAGCCAAGGCCCACTGTGCCTTCCCTCCTCCCTTCCCCGACCTATGTTCTCAAGCTCTAAGTCCTCGGGATTCCAGTTACTCCCCTTAAGTTCTTTACTGTTCTTTTTCCTTCTGGCTGGCCTCCACCTCCAAACTTTGGTATGGTTTATTTCTTCTCATCTTTCAAATGTCACCTCATCAAAATAGTCCTTCCCGACCACTCAATCAAAACAGCTTATGGGTTGGCAAGACGGCTTAGCAAGTGAAGATGTTAACTGTGCAAGCCTGATTAATGTTGATCTGAGTTCGTTCCCTGGAACCTGAGTAGAAAGTTGGATGGGATGGGTGCATCCGTAATTTCAGCACTCCTTTGAGATATAAGCCAGAGACAGGGTGGTTTTTCAGAGGCTCTCAGGCCCTGGGGTAGCCTTTAAGCTAAGATTGCGCTTTTGTTTCCTGGCCATCCAGACCCAAATAACCAAATAGAAACTGTATTAATTACAACACTGGCCAATGGCTCATGCATATTCCTAGCTAGCTCTTACATCTTAAATTAATCCATTTCTATTAATCTATGTATCGCCACAAGGCTGTGGCTTACTGGTAATGTTCTGGCAAGTTTCTCCTTTGGTGGCTACATGGCATCTCCTTGACTCTGCCTATTCTCTCTCTCTTTCTTTGAATTTCATACTTGGCTTTACTCTGCTAAGCCATTGGTCAAAACAGCTTTATTCATCAACCAATGAAAGCAACCCAGAAGGACATCTCACATCAGTAGTCAAGGACGACAGGATAACCTTGAGCTTCTGGTCCTCCTACCTTCACCCCCTGAGCACTGAGATTATAGGCAAATGTCACCATACTCTCCACATTGCTACAGATGGAGCCCAGGGCTTCATCTATGACAGACAAGCACTCTACCATCATCTACGGACATCCCCAGTCCCTTCAATACAGTTTTTACTTAGGATATTTTCAGCTTACGATGAGTTTACTGGGACATAAACAATCATACATCAAGGAGCCATCTATTGCCCAGGTCGTATGAATGATTTAAATGGGAGTGGAACCTGAGAAGAAACACTGGATTCTGGACCTGTCCCTAGAAAGACTCGAAGCAGTATTTTACATCGGCTTTCCAACTCCGAGTTACACATTCCTTGAAAAACATGGAGCCCAATGCTCAGCTTATTTCAGCTAGAACTCTTTCTCCGTGTCTTGTCCTTACCATGAGTTCATGTAAATTCAGTCTCTCGCCATTGTTATCCTGTAGAACAGCTTTAAAATGCCAAATATTTCTTCCTCTTACAGTTAACCCAACACACATTGCTTTCTGGTTTGGCTGATTCCAACTGCCTGGAGTTTAAGTTCCTCGAAAGTAGATTGTCTGTGGAATTCACAGTCATGCTCTCGCTGTCCAGAGTAGTCATCTTGACCTCTGGTGAGCACTCAGTGAATTGTTGCTTTATCCAAAATGCGTTTTGGGGATGGCTTCCATTCATCTCAGAGTGCTTCCTCTGGTAGGAACATCCTTCTATCAGCCTGCCTTTGCCTCCTGTGGGCTATCTGGGGGACAGTGGAGCGGGTTGGTGGGAAGGATACTGATGCGTGTGCAATATAACAGTAGAAGGAAACACTGGGTGGAAGGTTTTAAGAGGAGATGGGGGACACAGCCAAGGGGAGAGGCGGGGAAGGGAAAATCAACCCAAATGAATATGTATGAAAATGCCATAAGGAAACCCACTTTATAAGTTAACTAAAACAACAAAACCATAAACATATACCCCGAGTTGCTCAAGACCACTGAGGGTCAGCTGGGTGGTTTGTTTTGTTTTTGAGACAAGGTCTCACTAGCTTTGGCTAACCTAGAACTTAAAATACAGACCATGCTGGCCTCTAACTCACAGAGACTTGTTTGCCTCTGCCTCATAAATGCTGGGATTAAAGGGGAGCACCACCACTCCAGACCATGGTGGTTTTATAGCATTTTGGGGGTAGGAACTGGGACTCTGTACCAGGTCCCTTTTGGGTCTCCTCATCTGGAGACGGGTGAGGATCCTTTGGGAGGGGTCCCTTTTCATAGGGAGGTGTCACCACCAGAAAAGAGCAAAAATCTGCTTAGTGACTGAGGAGGCAAAAGAACATACTTATTTGTTTTTGAGATGGGGTCTTGCTATAGAACCCTGACTTGTCTGAAATTCACTATGTAGACCAGGCTGGCCTTGAACTTCCAGCCTGGTCTTGCTTCTGCCTTCCAAGTGCTGGAATTGCAGGTGAGAAATGCCATATGTAGCTCAGGACAAATACTTTTTATTTTGCCTCCAACATCCAGTCAAGGATAGAAATTTTGATGTAGGCTCATGATGCCAAATTCTGATTTCTGTGGTTCGTGTTTTTGAATTATTTGTTATATCATTTATTCTCACAGCTAGTTCTCCCAGAAGGCTGTGTGTGTGGAGTGGGTGGAAAATGAATAAGAGTAAAGAAAATGCAGCAGGGTTGATGGCTTTGGTGTTGGCAGTAATGACTAATATTACATTTTGGTGAAAATTTTGAATTGCAATTTCTTCAGAATTTTTTTTTTTGGGGGGGGATAGGGTTTCTCTATGTAACAGTTCTGGTTGTCCTGGAACTCACTTTGTAGACCAGGCTGGCCTCAAACTCAGAAATCCACCTGTCTTTGTCTCCCAAGTGCTGGGATCAAAGGCATGCGCCCCCACCAACCGGTTTCTTCAGAAGGTTTTACATTTGGGTTCCAAAATAGCTCTGTGGCAAAAGTGTTATTGTCTTTTTCAGATGGATAAACTGCTGAAAAGAGTCTCTCCCAGTGTCACTAAAAGTGTGTAAAATAGCCCTGACCTAAGCCCAGGTCTCATCATGTCAAAGTCCATCCTTATTCCATGGCTCTGGCTGCTTCTGCAACAGGTCACTTCCCGAACCTCCAGACTTTAGTCTCACCTTTAGAAGGTCCCTGGATGACCTCCTAGTCACTTCCAAATTTAAATCCTATGATTTTATGAGATTTTTCTTTATTGTTTATTTAAATATTTGCTGTCACTTCATATTGCTATCACTACTAAAGTGGTATGTTTGTTTGCTTGCTTGCTTGCTTGCCTGTTTTGAGATAAGGTTTCACTGTGTAGTCCTGGGTGACCTTAAACTCCTGCCTCTACCTGCTGAGTCCTGGGATGGTTTGTAAGGTGCTAGGAATCGAGCCTTGGGGCTTTGTCCATGCTCAGTATTTTTTTTTCTTCGAGAAAGGTTTCTCTGTAACTTTGAAGCCTGTCCTGGAACTAGCTCTTGTAGACCAGGCTGGCTTCAGACTCACAGAGATCCGTCTGTCTCTGACTCCTGAGTGCTGGGATTAAAGGCGTGCGCCACCACTGCCGGCTTAGTATTATTTTTTCTTAATGAGTGGCATTAAGTGAAGAGATTTTCCTCTGAATTTACTTGGGGGGAAAAAGGAAATGAAAGGAATAGAGCAACTTTTCTGTATTTGAAGCTATGTGGAGCAAAATAAAAACGAATCTGTGGGGTTGGAGAGACGGCTTGGTGGTTAAGAGCTTGCATGACTGTTGCAGAGTACCTGAGTTTGGTCCCCAGCACCCATCTCAGGCAGTTCACAACTTCCTACAGCTCCAGAGAAATCCAGTACCTTTTTTCTAGACTCTTCAGGCACCTAGACACACATGCCTATACATACACAGGCACACACATATACATATGGTTAAAAAGTAATAAAAATAAATCTTAAAGTTGGAGCTGGAGAGATGTCTCAGTGGTTAAGATCACCTGTTAGTCTTTCAGAGGACCATGGTGGTTCAAGTTCCAGCACCCACACAGTGGCTCACAACCATCAGTAACTCCAGTTCAAAGGGATCCAATACCCTCCTCTGGCCTCCAAAGAAAACAGGCACACAAGTGGTGAGCAGACATACATGCAAGCAAAACACTCATACACATAAAATAAAATTAAATATAAAATTTTAAAAATATATAAATTTGCAAATAAACAAACAAGTAAGTCTGGGCTATTGAGATGGCTCAGTGGGTAGTGACACCTGCTTCTGAACATGATGACCCGAGTCCATACTCAGAGCCCACACTATGGAAGGAGACCTCTGAATGTTGTCCTCTGACATGTGCTCTGACACAGTCACTAAAAAAAAAAAAACAAAATGAAATAACAATCTAAAATCAAACGAACAACCTGATCATAGAGTCCGTAGTACCAGAGGCAAAGGCTGCATTGTGAGAACCACATATGAAATATTGGGTCACCAAGTAACTAAAAGCACCTTTCCAAAAATGCAAGCTGAGGCCTGTTCCTCTGCTTATTAGTTCCTTTCCCATAGAAAACATGTGTGCTATTCATACAACTTTGCATAAATAAAATCACTGTGTTGCTGTTGCATAACAGACCGAGTAAACAGAGTTTCTTATTCACAGGACTCTTTTGTCTCAGACTTTTATTTGTGGCCATTTAGATGTCAGCTACTGTTTTTTAAATGACAAATGAAAGAACTTTACACAGAATAAAAATTAGTATTTGTGTATCTTTTTCTGAATTTTATTTTGCTAAAAAGAATCTACACAGACCCCCCTCCCCAAAAAAAGAAAGAAAAAAAGAAGAGAAAGAAAAACATGCAAAATAGTTTTGTGCACACCTCTAACACATTATATTCCACCTCAAAAAACTTACCAAAAAGAAAGGAAAAACACCCAAAGCAAGAGTCCTTGGGTTGAGAAGTTCACATTGCAAAGACTAGATTGGTAACACAAACACTGCCAATACAAGTCATTGTACTGCAAAAGGAGAGCGTGTGTGAGTACATTAGATTAATGCCAACAATAAGAAGACAAGACAAACTGTACTCCTCCTGCGAGCCAGTAAAAACCGTTTGCTGTCACGGGAAAGCCTTGGTGTTAACCTGAACGCCACACAGCCTTAACCTTAACACTGTGCAGGCTCATTCAGTGCACCATTCTCGAAACTAGCTCCTTGCCCACCACCTTTAAATTGGTTTTTGGGCAGTGTTGGAAAGCGAAGCTAGAGCATCCCGAGTACTAGGAAAATTCTGATTACATCTAATCCCTAAAATGTTTTGGTTTTGAAAAATAAGAGTCCTTCAAAAATATACATGAACTATTATATACTTTTAAAACAACTATTTAATATAGAATGATAGTGATGCTTTCCTTTGGGGTATTTTACTTTTCTTCTTAAAGATACTACAGAAAATGATAAATTATAGAGGAACAGTGTCTGTGCACATGTATAAAAAAATCTTTAAAAAGAGATTTGGAAAACATAATGGGAATTTTTATTTCCCTTCCTCAAGACTAGTTTCAGACCATTTAATAGATACTTTTTTTGAGCCGGGCAGTAGTAGTGCACACCTTTAATCCCAGCACTTGGAGGCAGAGGCAGGGGGATCTCTGTGAGTTTGGGGCCAGCCTGGTCTACAAAAGCTAGTTCCAGGACAGCTAGAACTGTTATACAGAGAAACCCTGTCTCAAAAAAAAAAAAAAAAAACAAAAAAAACTAAGATACTAAGATACTTTTTCAAAAAAAAAAAAATCAGCTGCTTTAGAACCTTTCTGTTTGGTCAGCAAGCTCCTTGTCCCTGTGTATTTGTACTTTCCAAACATATCAGACTGTGCACAAGGTACTGTTCTGTATCTCTGAACAAATCTCCAGGCTGTCCCAACCGAATTTACCCAGCCTGAGGCTTTGAGTCAAAAGTAAAGAAGGGCCGCTTGGTAGGAGCCCAGTTCTAACCGGCCTCCATGCTGCCCAGAGGGGACTGGTGATTCCTGATTTAGAAAAACCATGGGCTATCTAGGCTCTGTCTGACACCCTTCAGTAGGACGACCAGTCTCCTGAAAGCCTTAGTCCTCAAAAGAAAGAAGAGTTTGAATGCATTCTCATAAAGCATTTCAAACATGCAAAGAGAAAAATCCCAAACAGGAGTAAAGAGAGAGGGGCAGTGAGCCTGTAGAGTGCCGGAACACTGTGCTCCAGTGAGAAACACACGTACACACACAGCCTGCGTCAATGTCGTTTCCAGTGAACCTCCTTCCTAACAGCACTTCCTAGGAAGAAAAGTGACGGTACCATCTCCAATCCAGAAAGGAGCCACTTTCTCTACTTCTATCTAGCCCTACGTATGTGTAAAGGACTCTGAAGGCCAGGTCTAGTTCAATGCTATTTCCAAAATACTGGCCCAAATGGCAAGTGTATCTTTTCCCCTCCTTGCAGCAGTCAGCACGATTATGCAATTGGTGTGCTGCATTTAAAGGAACGAGTGAAGAGCACGGTGCAGCCCTGAAGGCGGGTATCCCACAGCCCATGATGAGGTTGGCAGAAAGCAAGCTACTCTTCCGGAGCACAGCTGGGCATGAGAGCATGCTCTTCCACCCTGTGTTTGGCGCCATCTCTCTTTTCTTTCCGCTAAGCTGTTTGAGGATAGGGCTGTGGAAGATGTATTTTACCCCCACTCACAACATGAGCAGTCATGGGTGGGGGTGAAATACATGCATGGGACATTCATGCTCAGGACCCTCTTCAAGCCAAACAGAGGCTAAACCCTACCCAGAGTCCTTTGCAAACCTCTTCTGACACACTGTGTAAAGCAAAACTAGAAAACCCACGTTCACTTCCCCATGACAATTCAGAAGGAGCAAAGCTTCCCAGGGACGTTAGATGTTTCAGACTGAAGGGGGGGGGGGGGGATGCAAAGAGAGTCCATCTTTTCTCGGTTGCCTGTGGCATGAGCCAAAGACGTTTCCGGAACCTCTTCATTTTCCCAGTGGTGGCCTGACATGGCTTTAGGTTTCATGGTACGGAAGACCATGTTTCAGTTTGTTCGACATCTGAAGTCTGATGCGCAGAGGGAGCTCTGTGGTGCTGAAGGAACGACTCTTCCTTTTTTGGTGAGGAAGGCCCAATGGGTCTCAGCTAAGGAGCGCTCAGTGCCGGCTCTAAAAATAACCCCACAGCAAATACTGTTTGGCACATCCTTCTGTTTGCCAAGGAGCACTGCAGAACTCCACGGCGTGTTTTGGATTCTCCGTAACTGCCCTGAGCTCTGTCCCTGCACTGATGACAGCGATGGCTGGGGAGCTGTATCATTTTTGAACATTGCTCTTTTTGTTTTTGAGTTTTGATTCCTTGGAATCCTTTCCCAAAAGGCTGAAGTGTGGTTCCAGCTGAGGATTAGTTACTACCTGGTTTTAGAATCTTCTTTTGGCTTCTGGTCTGAACTACGCAAATACACAATCTGTGTGTACCAGAAAAGACTAAAATTAGACTTCAAAAGGCTCAATCATTCCTCTCATTCCCCTTTCCCCCCAGAAGAAAGATCTTTGACTCCTTCATTGTCGGCAGCAGGAGCAGCCAGGGCCCGGCCCGCAGCAGCCACTCTGGGCCCCTACACATTGACAGCATGCGCATGCTTCTTGCACAGTGGTTTGTCTTTCTTGGAGTAGAATGGCTGCCCCTCCAGATTCACATGGCAGACCTGGGAAGGAAGACAGAGCCGTGTGAGATGGGATCTTGAAGCAGAGAAGACGTGAGCAAAAGATTTCAGACTAGCATAACATGGCAGACATGCTCCTAATCCCAGCTCTTGGGAGGCTGACGCAGAAGGGTCCTGAGTTCAAGAACTAAATTGGGCTATATAGGGAGATACTATGGGGGAAAAGGTCACCCTTTCAGGGACTGGAGAGATGGCTTAGTGGTTATAGACACTAGCTGTTCTTCCAGAAGTCCTGAGTTCAATTCCCAGCATCCACATGGTGGCTCACAACCATCTATAATAGGATCTGATGCCCTCTTCTGGTGTGCTGGTGTACCTGCATAGCACTCATACATAAAATATAAATAAATAAAAATTTAAAAAAATGCACTGTTGCACCTAACTAGGAGAATAAACAGCCTGTTTTTCTCCGCCCTGCTACAAAGCCTTAATGACTGAATAGAATATGTAGGTTGATCCATATAACATGAAGACTTCCAGGGGATTGAGGAAGGAGCCAGTTGCTTGACCATCATGCATGAAGCCCTGGCTTTGATCCCCAGAACCACATGAGCCAGGCTTAATGGGCTTGCCTAAAATCCTAATGTTAGGGATGTGGTAGAGAAGGGTCAAAAGTTCAAGGGCATTTTAGCTGCTCAGAACTCTGTCTTTAGACATAAATAAATACCCAAATAAGATAAAGACTTCTGAAAAGCATGAACTCAAATTCATTAAATCTAGTGGAATAGAGATTATATGTGATAAAACAAACAAACAAAAAGTCTAATTCATGTTATGCTGAGGGGAGCCGATGAAGTCCTGAGTCAATGTATATTGCTGACATGAGCAGAGACAAGTAAAGGGCTCCAATGGCTCAGACCAATAGGAATAGCAAAGACTTCTCCTGATCAGGCTCAGGGAAATGACAAAGTGTTCCCCTGGTCTGTCTGCAGATGTTGGCTGTGGTGGTTTGAATGAAAATGGCCCTGTAGGCCCATAGGGAGTGACATCATTAGGAGGTGTGGCCTTGATGGAGTAGGTATAGCCTTGTTGGAGGAAGTGTGTGTGTGTGTGTGTGTGTGTGTGTGTGTGTGTGTGGCGAGGGTGGGAGTGGGGATGGGGGTAGGGGGGTTGGGGGTTGAGGTTGTAGATGCTCAAGCCAGGCCCAGTGGCTCCTTCTCTTTTCCTGGTGCCTGCCGATCCAGATGTAAAGCTCTCAGCTACCTCTTCAGCATCTTGTCTGCCTGTGTGCTGCCATACTTCCCGCCACAAGGAGCCAATTACAGACTGAACAGCTGCCACTCCAATTAAATGTTTTCCTTTATGAGAATGGCGGTGGTCATGGTGTCTCTTCACAGCACTAGACACCCTAACTAAGACATTGACCATATGTAGGAAGTGTGGACAACAGCTTCCTTCTCCTGGATGCTATAGCCTGAGGCTGTTCCCCTAAAGCTATTAGCTAAACCTGCCTCCTTGTTTATCTGTATGTGATAACCTGGCCTCCCTGTGTTTCAGATGTATAAAATAAACTCAGTGTCCAAGCTACTGCTGGAGCCCTTCATCAGAGAACAAGACCCACCCAATCTTAGCTTTTCTGTACAAGAGAGAGAGAGCGCCACCGTAACAATGGAAGCAAAGACCAGAATTTTGTAACTAGCCAGGAAATGAAAAGATGGCTAGCAATCAGAGGTAGGAGAGAGTGTGGCTGTCTGTTAGTACTTTGAGTTTTGATTTCTGTCCTGCTGAACTATGAGAGGATATATTTCCTTTTTTGTTTGTTTGTTTTTTAAGACACGGTTTCTCCGTGTAGCTTTGGAGTCTGTCCTGGCACTAGCTCTTGTAGACCAGGCTGGCCTCGAACTCAGCCTGTTTCTGCCTCCCGAGTACTGAGATTAAAGGCGTGCGCCACCAATGCCCGACTGAGAGGATATATTTCTGCAGTGTCTGGTATTATACCCTAGGAAACTAATACACATTGAACACAATGTACCCCATAAATAGTGGAGGCAAAGGAGTAAAGTACAGAATTCAAAATATATGGCAGTAAACTTGATGACTATTGTCCTCCATCCTAAATTCATAAAAGATTATTCAGACTTAAACAGCACAAATATCTATCTATCTATCTATCTATCTATCTATCTATCTATCTATCTATCTATCTATTGACAGGGCTTCCTGTATCCAAAGTTGGCCTTAATTTCACTGTGTAACAAGGTTAACCTTGAACTTCTGGTCCTCCTGCCTCCATCTCCCAAGTGCTGAGATTATATGTGTACGCTACCATAGTTGGTTTATATGAAGCTTGAGATTGAACCCAGGGCTTCACTCTACCGACTGAACTTTATCCCCAGCCCCTAAGCAGCACAGTTATATCATACATACTCCAAATTCACCTTGAGAAACTCTGGTTCTTAAAATACCAATAGTTTATCCATTTTCCTAAATAAAGTTCAGTCAGTTAGACTGACAATATAGAGATTTATTAGGGACGAGCATTTCCTGTTTCCAACTCAAGTCCGAGTAGAGGCAGCACAGTTTCACAGTCTCATCTCAGCTGAAAGCCCTGTACAGGGAAGGCCAGTCTCTTAGACAGATGCCCTGCTGATTCAGCTCACTGCACACGGTTAATCATTAATCTCAGGCTTATCTGCTGGCTGCTGTCTATCAAGAACAGGACCACTTAGGAAAGGAAAGTGATACTCATCCTGCTTTCTAAAGGTCCAACCAAGAGAAACCTTATCTCAGCCTTTCAGAGACGTAGTCAATATGCTGAGGACTGGGGTTCATGGTAAAGCCTTCATACCGCTTCATAACCAAGGCAGCACAGAACCTGGGGAAGCCACTGCTTCTCTAGGCCATCGTTTGCTGCCCTCACCTATGCTTATAAAACAACAAACCGGTTCTCCAAATCCTAGGGTACTTTGCTGCCACTGCTCTGTAAATAATCCATGGTAATGCAGATTCCTTAAACATTTATCTATTTATGCATTTTACATATAAGTGCTCTATCTGCATGTACACCTGCATGACAGAAGAAGACATCAGATCCCGTTATAGATGTCAGATACCACGTGGTTTCTGGGACTTGAATTTAAGACCTCTGGAAGAGCAGTCAGTGCTCTCAACCACTGAGCCATTTCTCCAGTCTGTAACACAGCTTTCTTTACCCGTGACAGATCAAGACAGGGCACTGGCAACCTTTAAGTACCATTATGGTACCAGAATGTCACAGCTGTATCTTTGCGTGTCAAGGGGTTGGCCAACCAGACTGTACTTTGTCCCTTCTACCCGCTGCAGGCTAGAAACGTACCGCACAGATGAAGCAGGTGTCATGCCAGGTGTGCCCCAGGGCTTCGATAAACTTGTCGCCAGCTTCCACAGGAAAGTCACATCCGTGGCACTTGGTGCTGAACAGATTGATGTAGTCTGAAATAAACGGTAAAGTGAGGCAGGCCCGAAGAACAGTTGGCAACATGGACCCCAGACCAGGACAGCCCCACGTCAGTGAGCTGGGGGAGTGGGCTTTGACATCTCACATAGTACTCCTTATATGATTGATTTTATTTTTCACTCTTTTGGTAATTTGTCCCAATGTTGCATTGGCTCAGACTTGGATTTAATAACCACCTCGTGCTGGTCTTGTCTGGAATTGTCATGAACTTCCTTAGGAGTGATTGCTTCTTTTCTCTCTCTCACTCCTCTGATAGCCCAAACAGGTCAATCCCCAAATGGAAATTAAAAAACAATATTCCTCATTGCCCAGCCACTGGGCTTATTTTGGAAGAATGGGGGGGGTCTTTTTTTTTTTCTTCTTCCAGATTTTATTTTATTTTTAGTTTTGTGTGTAATCAGGAGTCCAGGTGTCTACAGAGTTCAGAAAACATTGTTGGATACTATTGAGCTGGAGTTACATGTTGTTCAAGCAACCACGTGAGTGATGGGAACAACGTGGGCACTCTGAGCAGTAATGTGCTCTTTTCTTCCCTCTCTTGTTTTTTGTTTTGTTTCTCTCTCCCATTGCCCGGTTTTCTCCTCTCCTTTTTGCCCCTCCACCTTCCACATGGGATGACATAAAAAGGCTCTTGTAGGTGTAGCCCTTAATGATGGACTTCCCAGCCTTCAGAAGCAGGAGCCAAATGCCTTTCTGTTTGCAGTAAACCCCCCTGCCTCAGACATTTGATTACACTAAACAAGATGGACGAAGACAGATGGCATTCCTTACAAGAACCTTAACATCAAGAATCATGCCTTACTTTTCGTACTTCCGACACAACACCTAGTCAATGGTCAGTATTCAACAGAGCCATAAACCAACACATCAATGAATTTACCGAATAGCAAGTAAATCAGTAAATGAATGAATGAATCTGATCTTCACAATGTCTCTCAGAGACAGACTTTTTTTTTAATTTTTGGTCTTATTTTGTGGATGAAGAAATTGAGACTCAAAGAAATAACGACCAGAGTCTGACACTTGAGGCCTCATAAAGTCTTATGCGCCTTTCTCAGAGCATAGCAATTCTACCATACTACTGTAGACATTTTCTAGATTTTTCTAGAAGAGTTCGAATCCCTTTAAAAACTTCATTTCTCCCTACATTCCCCAGCTCCCCAAATGTACTTGTCTCTCCACAGCTCCACCACGGCTAGCCTCTTCCTGGGTTCTGCTCATCTCCTGGATGGTATGTCTATTCATTGTCTTAGACCACACACTGAGAGGCAGTATGCCATCAGGGTTATAAACATGGAGTATGAAAAAAGAAAAAGCTAGTTCAAAGTCCAGTTCTATTAAGGAATTCATTAAACCTGGGGCAGCTTCTCAGGACTGTAGCCTTCCCAACTATAAAACTACAGCGCCAAACTCATGGGATTATTACTATTGACCAGATTAAGAAATGTATGAAGTACTTGGCATAAACATTAACTGTTGGCTCTTATTTTAGAAGACTTCATAAATGGTTAAAGGAGGAAGAGGACCTGTTTATCATCCATATTTCCGTCCATCATCCTTGAATGCCCATCACGATAATGGCTTTGCTTAAAATTCCTTTTAATATTTATTTATTTTATGTATAATGATGCTTTGTTTGTATGTACATCTATACACAGGAGAGGGCATTGAATCCCAAACACAGCTGTGAGCAGCCATATGGGTGCTGGAAATTGAACTCAGGACCTCCGGAAGAGCAGCCAGTGCTCTTAATCACTGAGACATCTCTCCAGCCCGAGATATTTAAAAATTCATTGTTACTATTATTAGTGTGCATGATTTGTGCCATGGAGTACGTGTGCAGGTCAGAGGACAACTCTGTGAGGCTGGTTCTCTCCTACTTTGTGTGGATTGCAGGAATAAAGTTCAGGCAGCCAAGCTTCCCGCATAAGCACCTTTACCCACTGAGCCATTTTGCTGGCCCTTGGTTAAAATTTTTGAGCATAGAGATCTCACAGAAACTGATATAGACTACACAGTCAATATATAGCATGTTTTATGGTTAAAAGATGAACAGAAAAAAAAACCAAAAACCAAAAAAAAAATGGTTCAACTAGCCTTATTAAGTAGTAATTCCTTCCCTTGTTTTTTTTCACAAATTTTCTATGTGTAGTAGTCCTGGCTGTCCTGGAACTAGCTCTTGTAGACCAGGCTGGCCTTGAACTCACAGAGATCTGCCTCCCGAGTGCTGGGACTAAAGGTGTGCGTCACCACTGCCCAGTCACAAATTTGTTCTTCAAACAGTTTGAATCCACTTCTGGAAGTTTTAGTCTTGCTTACTGATTGATTTTTCTATTTCAAAGTTGATTTTGTGTGGCCTGGAGGCTTTAAAAATTGATAGTACAGATACGAGTAATACTATTTTTTTAGAATATTGGCACTTTCCTCATTTATTCTACAAAATGAGGTTGTCTCTATAATTGGCCTCCTTGCTTTTCCTCATCCGATTTTCTGGTGCTGCTGTCTCAGCCCCTTATCTGCCTGGACTTAAACTCTTCCAGAAGGAGCAGGCTGTGAAGGAAGGACCGGACAGAAAGGCCAGCTAGCGGGGATGCCTGTGACTCCGGAAGTCACCACAGTTCCTCACATGTTACAATAGCATATTACACTGCAAAGTGCAGAGAGATTGGAGGAAGCCTGAAAAACACCGCAGGGAGGGAGGGAAGGGCGCTCGGCATTCCACGCCTCGGCCCCTGCAAGCCTCGGCCCCTCCCTGCTTCCGTCCCCACAGCAACTCCACAGGGCAGCTGTTACAGTCTCTCAGAGAAGTTGAGCAGCCTTCCTCAGGGTTGCAAAGCTATCCCAGGGTGGAGTCAGGAAGAGAAATTAGAACGACGATTACTAGAGCCAAGGCCCCTCTTCAGACTAGACCCGGGTTTCCAAGTCAACATAGCCTGAACAGTCTCTCAAGGTTTAGGGAAGCAATGAGGGATTCAGATATTAGACACACGGAAGGGAGCAGAGACTGGTGTATAAAATACATTGTAACTCCAACTCCTTTTCCCCAAAAGCTGAAACCAAATGAGCAGGGGAAGGAGTATAAAGTATAAATAGCTCATTATAATAGCTTGATTCGCCATTAAAAACAAAATCAGGACCTTGTGTAAGATTCTGAGTTTGATCCCCAGTACCACACATGAAGCAAAATGCACACAAGACCCTTTCTTCCCCTTGACGTAGGCAGGACTTAGTTTCCTATGCCTGCCTGTCAACCCAGGTGGGAAATGGTACAGGGTTTTCCAGCATGGTGTCATGCTGCATCCTGTCTACACCGTATCTCCCATGCCTACCTTTCTCACAGTATGGCTCTCCATCCTCCATGTGGAAGAGGCTGTTTCCAAAAGGTTTCTTGCAGGCTGCACAGACGAAGCAGGTAGTGTGCCATGTCTGCCTCAGAGCGCGCATCACTTCCTGGAGGGGAGAATCTGGGTTCAGGACAGAACATTTCCCAGGGCTGCTGTCCAAGTCGCCTAGGGAATGGGGCAACGGGGTTCAAAAAGCAGGTGCCGGGAAGGCAGGGGAGGGTGGAGAAGGGAGGTCCGGCTTATTAGGGCCACTTTGCCCAAAGGGTACGGAGAGTCAGGGCCGCAGGCAGATGACAGGCCAGGCTGCGAAGCACGAACCTGCTTTGAGGTGCCCCGGCACCATTTGAAGCTGGTGGCACATGTGGATAGCATTGCTGGCCCAACTTAATTAGTTCCCTGGTTCAGGAGTTAGTGGCAAACCGATTCCATTCTGCGATGGAAATGGAGTTGCGTGTTCTGTTATCAACAGCTTGTTGAGAGTGTTTCTAGCGGGACCCGAAAATCTTAGGGGAAGGGAGGAAGCCAGTCCAGTTGAAGAAAAGACAAGGGCCCAAGGGAGGGATGCTGCCCACTTACCCCCATGATCTTGGTGTTGCACTTGGCACACAGAGGGGCAAAAAACTGCTCGTAGCACCGTTCACAGTAAACGTTGTTCTGCTCCTCCACGAAGCACACATCTGCTAGGGAGTTCTTGCAGTAGGCACAGTTGAACTCTTCTGGGTGCCAGGAGCGGCCCATGGCTACCAGAAAAGGGCCCCTGGCATGGCAGACAGCAGTATTTTAAAATGAGCCCCAGAAATTAGAGCCAGATATTTTAAGAACCCCAACACTATTCATACATTTACTTAGTAATGCTTGCTTTAAGGATTGTTCTAACGAAATACCACATAATTCTAAGAAAGTTCCATGCAGAAAGACATCTATTGTCATGTCAGTAACACAATAAACAGAACCAGAAAATGGGACACGGGGGTGCATACCAGCACATGGCAGGCAGAGTTTAAGGTCAGTCTGGTCTACATAGTAAGCTCCAGGCTAGACAGGACTACACAGAGAGACCCTGTCATAAGGGAACACACAATCCAACACCTAACAAAAAGAACCTGGAAGCAATTCAAATGTCTCCCACTGAGGACCCAGTAAACACATCACCGGGTTCAGGTCATCAAAGGTTATTCTGAGATCAATGGTGGCTAACCTTTATTAAACTACTGTGTGCTAGAGTATCTTCAAGAATGATCTTACATTTGTTAATATAGCTAACCCTCATAACAGTTTTATGAAGAAGGAAGGCCGGATTATCAGTACAGAAAATTGAGTCGGGGAAAGTCAAGGAACTCGTTCAAGGTCACAGGAAGCAGTAGATGATAAACCTGATGATGGCTCTGGTTCAGATTAGTATTCAGAACACTGGAACTAGCAGAAAATCTCAGGTTCTAACTTTTTCAGTTCCGTGTTTTCTAGTTCTTCTATGTTCATTTTGTTTTTGTTTTGGGAACAGGATCTCACTTTCTAGCCCTGGCTGGCCTGGAACTAGCTTTTAGAAGAGCCTGGCTTTGAGCTTACAGAGATATGCCTGCTTATGCCTCCCTAGTGCTGGGGACCAAAGGTGTGTGCCACCACCATGCCTGGCCTCTGCTTTTGGTTTTTTTAAAGGGTATGTTTTTCACATATGGAGGCATATACCACACATATACACAGACATACTGTATTTAACAAGCATGGTCGGAGACCCCTGACTCTTTTCATTTATTTTTCTCTTTTTATTTATTTTTTATATTTATTTATTTATTATGTATACAATTTATTTATTTATTATGTATACAATATTCTGTTCACGTGTATGCCTGAAGGCCAGAAGAGGGCACCAGACCTCATTACAGATGGTTGTGAGCCACCATGTGGTTGCTGGGAATTGAACTCAGGACCTTTGGAAGAGCAGGCAATGCTCTTAACCTCTGAGCCATCTCTCCAGCCCCCCTTTTTTCTCTTTTTAATAAATTTTTGTTTCCTTGTTTTGTTTTTCCGAAACAGGATTTATCTGTGTATCTCTGACTCTCCTGGAACTCACTCTGTAGACCAGGCTGTTCTCGAACTCATGACTTTTAAGGGAAATTACTTGCTTTAATTTCAGTGAAGTGTCTATCAGAGCCCGAAGAGGTATAAACCTGTTTGTGGAAAGATCCAGAAGCAACCCTATAGGAAAGCTGGGTCAAAACCAGCACTGTCATCCAACTTGCAATGTGCTCAATAAACCTGACAATAAGGCTGGAGATTCCCAGAACCCAGCCTTAGCCCAAGGGAGAGCTCCTGGCACCAGGCACCACGCTGGGAGCTTCACCCACTTACCTCATGGAATCTTCCCAATTCCCCAGGGATGTGGGTGTCACACAGGTATGGAAGCTAAAGCTCATAGAGGTGAGCCAGAGAGACCTGAGGCTTCCCCATGAGGCTGACCTTTCGCCTATATCTGCCCTCCCGTCTGTCTGTCACCCCTGCCTGTACCTGATTACATTGTTGCAGTGCCCACAGAGGGGAGTCCGGCTGCTCGCTGGGAAGCGTTCAGCTCTCTGGAACAGGCCCCTGGCAAGAGGGGTCACCTGTGGACCTGTTGGGTTGTAGCCTGGAGCCCCCCGGGGCAAGGTCTGCTTGCTGACCGAAGTGGTGCTCTTTCCAGGAGCAAACTTCTGAGAGAAGCTGTCGTCAGTCACCCAGGGTGGGCGGCTGGCAGACTCTGCAGGGCCCCCGCTGTAGGCTGCTGAGGGAGCAGGGCTATAGTTTGGGGCAGGGGAAGGGGTATAAGCTGGTGCAGGGGAAGGGGAATAGGTGGGAGCAGGTGAGGGGGTATAGGTGGGAGCAGGTGAGGGGGTATAGGTGGGAGCAGGTGAGGGGGTATAAGCGGGAGCAGGTGAGGGGGTATAGGGAGCTGAACTGTAATTGGCTCCTGGGGATGGGCTATAGGTAGATGCAGGCACTGCAAGCCAAAAACACACAAAGAACATGTGTTAGGAACTCATTCTCCCTCCTCTGTCACCCCAGTCAGAGAACCATAAAAGACAAGCTTAACATTGGGACAGTATAACTCCAATTTTTAAAGGAAGAGGTGTGTGTGTGTGTGTGTGTGTGTGTGTGTGTGTGTGTATTGTGGAAGACAACCAGAGACTTAAGTACACTAAGCAAATGCAGTACCACTAAGCTACTTCTTATTGAACCAGATTTTAATTCTCAGCAAGAGCCCAGGTAACCAAGGGTGGCAGCAGAGCCCTGGGGAACTTGCCCAGGCCCCAGAAGGGATGTAGCTATAAATACTGTGGCTGTTCAGGGTGGGGTTCTGCCAAGCCTTGGCTGCCCTGCTCCTATAAAAAATGGGGAGCACTGGGTGGTGGTGGTGCATGCCATTATCCCAGCACTAGAGACACAGAGACAGGTGTGAATTCGAGGCCAGTCTGGTCTATAAGAGCTAGTTCCAGGACAGCTAAGATTGTTACACAGAGAAACACTGTCTCAAAAAACAAAAACCAACCAACCAAACAAACAAACAAACAAAAAGATGAGGAGCAAGACAGGGAGTGTCTGGATCAGAAAGTGGATAAGAGAGGATGAACTCAGCCTGAAGTGGAGGATGCTCTCAGGATGACTTCACCTGGATGGTGGTCTGACTCCTAGACATCCCATAATCAGATTGTATTTGCTTTACTTGCAATTTTTCTAGTCCTCAAGACAGAACAGATGCCCAGGAAGCTGTGTTCTCAGGTTCATGTTTCAAGTTTAGCTACTATTGCTGTTTTGAAAACACAGTTTGACTTAGTTTGTGCTGGGAGGCAATTCTGTCTTGATTTGATAGGTCCCCACCTATCTTAGTCGCTTGGTGAGCCTAGGCAGAGGTGTGAGCACCATGCAGCCCAGGGCTAGCTGCTCAGTTGGTCCTTGACTGATCCCTGCTCTCCTACATCACCTTGGTACAAACTGAGAGTGTACATGACACCCTAGAGGTTCCCATTAGGGACAAGAATGCACTGCACTTCCCTGAAACCTGTTTGCCTTCACTGGGGGTGGAGAAACTGAGTTCATCACACAGATAGAGCATTGTAGTTGCTAACATTCTCTGCCAAGGGCTCTCACAACCCGAGATTTTTCTGTGGAGATCCCCACAGAAACAGCTGAAGAGATCTGGCTGTGTCCTGACCACGTCCTGAGCCCATGGTCAGCCAGTCCTCTGACTATAGCAAAGATGGTTCTAGAAACCTCACCTCTACTCCCTGCCTGTTAGGGACAGAGCACCATCTTACCCAGCAGGGAACGTATATCATGGTAGCCTCCCTGCCCACATCCAAGCCAGGCCTGGGTGGGATGGATAGTATTGAAGCAGCCCTCTCTGGGTCATAACTGGTTTCAGAACCAGGGCCCTGTCTGGTCTCTTTTTTCTACCTTGTACCCTGAGCCCTCTTGGGTGACTCCAACTCTGTGTCTATGGTTCCCAGATGACTGGTACTTCAGAACTGGGAAGTGCAGAGCCCCCGTGCTTCCCTTGGCTAGGGCTGTGACTATGGTGATAGCCAGTGTATAAAGCCTTCCACAGCCCTGCCCTAGAGTGATACTGGTTCCCAAAGATAGATTCTCCAGCTGGAACCTTCCTCCCACTTAGGATGTGGGTGAGGCACATAGCAGGTCGGTCAACTGAGTCATATTCTTCATTATTCCCTTTTACACTCGAGGGCACGAGAGCTCAGAGCAAGCAGCAGAACAAGACTGTAAACCTTCCTAAACTCCATGCTGCCTTTACAAAGAACACAAATCCAATTTCCACTGATGTACAACATTGTGGAGAAGTCACTTTTAACACCCAGAGGAGACCCCGTGCTCTGGAAGGAAGCAGAGCTGTCAAACACCCTAATTTGAGGCTTGGGACTCAGTGGTTAGCGCTTGCCTAGCATTTTTGAGATTCTGGGCTCCATCCCAAGCACCCTGGTTTCACACTCGACTTCTAAGACTTCTAGCTGCTATCCTTGGGTCAATTAACCTCTCCAAGCCCGGGCCCGTTTCTTCATCTGAAAATGGTATCGGAATTATTGTGAGGATTAGGAAAATAAGAGATATAGTGCTTAATTAAGTGCCTGATACAGCTGTGTGTGTGTGTGTGTGTGTGTGTGTGTGTGAGAGAGAGAGAGAGAGAGAGAGAGAGAGAGAGAGAGAGAGAGAGAGAGACTAATTGTGAATGAGAATGGTGGGGACAGTAGCATCTGGACTTCAGGTTGGAATGTACTATCAGGCTCATCTCAAAGCCCCAGCAGGCATGCTGGAGGGTGGCAGTGGGGAGGAGGGGTCTGATTCTCTGAAGTCACATTGCTAGGAATGAGTGGTGTCCTGTCTACTACCTCAGGCGGTGTGGTGGGAAGCTACAGGAATGCACTTTGTAAAGTTGAAGTCCCAAACTCAAGGTTTTGTCACTTCAACAATTTCACCTTGCTTCCTGGTGTCCTGAGGGTCTCCAAATGCTAGGAACAAAGGTCACTTGAGGGGTACTGTTGGAGTACTGGGAGGGAGCGATCCCACAAAACCCCAGAGCAGCGTCACCCTCTTTTGCACACTTTGCACGCCTGTGGAAACTATGTCTTCCTTTCTCTTTGCTTTTCATTTCATTTTTTTCTACCCTTCTTTTCCTTCTTCCTCATTTTAACCACATAAACCACGTAAACCTCATATAAACCACAGTCCTCTGCTAAAAGTTACAAGCTGGTGGTGGCGCATGCCTTTAACCCCAGTACTCAGGGAGGCAAGGGTAGGTGGATCTCTGTGAGTTCGAGGCCACTCTGGTCTACAAAGTGAGTTCCAGGGTTTCTCTGTGTAGCCCTAGTAGTCCTGGAATTTACTCTATAGACCAAGCTAGCCTAGAACTCAGAGATCCACATGTCTCTGCCTCCCAAGTGCTGGGATTAAAGGCATGGACCATCACATCCAGCCAAGCCTTTTGTATACTTTTTTATATTTAGCCCAGGCTATCCTGGAACTTACTATGTTCAATGATCCTTGTACCCTTGTGCCTCAACCTCATGAGTGCTAGATTACAAGCTTGTGATTCACACCTGGCTCTAAAAGAGACTAGGAGCAAAAACCCTGTGAAGTCCAAACCATGGCCTTATGTGGTCACCTAAAATGTTCTTATTGAGTGTAGATTGAGATATACTATTAAGTGTAAAAATTTGAAGACTTAATAAAAGAATATAAATTATCTCAGTAATAATCATCTTATGTTGGTTGTATGTTTAAAACTGTTTATTTGTTGAATGTGTGCAGATGCATGCCTGTGTATGTACCACTTGTCTGACTGGAACCTGGGGAAGTCAACAGAGGGTGCAGATCCTCTGGAATTGGAGTTACAGCTGGTTGTAGGTCCTATGGAAGAGCAGTTGGTGCTCTTGGTCACTGGTCCACCTCTTTATCTGCTTATATTTTGAGCCAGATCTCGCTATGTTACCCAGACTGAACTCAAGTGACCTTCCTGCCTCAATTTCCCAAAGACCAGTACATTGTCTAGCTTTAAAACACTTTTAATATACTGAGCTACATCTGGAAAGAGGTTCAGAGATTAAGAGCATCTACTACTCTTGTAGAAGACTGGCGTTGGGTTCCCAGCACCCACTCAGGTCTTACAGTTCTTTAACTCCCTGAGGGGATTGCATGGTCCTCTTGAGGCCTGTGTAGGCACCTGCACTCAAGCGTATATACCTACACAGACACATATATACAGTGAGAAGAGGGGAGGGGAGGCTCAAGAAATGGCTCTGGAGAAAGGCTCAGAAGTTAAGAGCATTGGTTGCTCTTCCGGAGGACCTGGTTTAAATTCATAGCACCCACGTGGCAGCTCACAACTGTCTGCAACTCCGGTTCCAGGGGATCCAACACACACACACACACACCAGGTGTGGTGGTGCACACCTTTAATCTCAGCACTAGGGAGGCAGAGGCAGGTGGATCATTGAGTTCTAGACCAGCCTGGTCTACAGAGTGAGTACCAGAACAGTCAGGGCTTTAAAAAAAAAAAAAAAAAAAAAAAAAAAAACAAAAAACCCTATCTCAAAACCCCCCCCAAAACTAACAAAAAAAAATTCCCTGAAAATTGTATGTGCTGAGCTAAATAAAACGTATTTAAATCAATTTCACCCGCCTTCTTTTACTTTTTAAAAACGTAAAAATGTGTTCCTCTTGGATGGTTGCCCTCTTTGAAACAGTGGCTGCCAAGCATTGTTGGCTTCCACAGTGATGTACAGAATTTTGTGTAATAGAAGGCAGAATACTTGCGAGTCAACTTTACAGACAACTCGGAGAGCTTAAGCGGCCGCTCAAGGCCAGCTAGCTAGCTTGCAAGCTTCATACCAGAAACGCACACCAATTGGCTCCAGATCTCTCTAAACCACTCCGAATGCAGAAGCAGGCTTCGGCGCAAACAGGCTTCAGCACGCCCATTCCAAATAAACCGGGCCTTCGCCCACCGTACTGCCTCCCCTCCAACCACTCCCTCTGCTGGGCAGACATTCTCTTCCTCCCATCCGAGGCCTTCCAACTCCCTGAACCTCCTTAGTTTTCCAAACCCCAACACAAGGCCTCCGAGAGGGAGGCTGGAATCCGGACCCAGTTTAGCTTTCTCCTTCCCTCTGGGACTAGGCGGCCAGAGGAGGACTTTGCACTTGGAGCCCTGTGCCTGGCAGATCCTTGGGGAGGGGATGGGGGGAGATACAGGGAGTTCGGTCCCCTGTCCCCCAAGTTCTTGCCTGCCTCACCCCTCCACCTCCCGAATGCCAGAAGAGACCCGATACCCCATCTCGGAGCCCCCGGGCTGTTGCTATTTCTACGTGAAGGAATTAAGCCGGTTCAAATTAGAAGGTGATATTTCATCTCTAATTGGCACGTTCAAAAGGCTCCTATCGCACTCGGCGGCCCGGGACTGTGTAATTAAACAAGGTGATCTGAGTCACTCCGGCCCGGGCTAGGTCCTCAGAGCGAGCACCCGGGTCGCCGCCCGGCCCGCGGGCCAACGTGGTCATCCCCGGGCTCACAGTGTCCTCCGCCCACTGGTCAAGCAGGCCCGGGCCTCAGGTGTTCTGGGCAGCGGACGCCCAACTCCGGCGCCAGAGATAAGATCCCAATGAAACGCCACCCGGCCTCCGCCAGCCGGAAGCTGCGGCCGGGGATTGGCCCCGAGTGGGCCGCTGGTGCTCGGTGGTGCCCAGGTCTCCCAAGCCCAGCAAGCGGAGAGGGGCACGGATCCGCACTGTCCCCTGGCAGACTGTCAGTCACCCCCGGAGCCCGTTGGCATCCCGGCCTCCCGGATAAGGAAGGGTGGAGGCAGGCCTCTCCTCTGCTCCGGGCAGGAATGAGTTAACGTCTGCACCGCCTGGGAACCACGCAGAGGCCCGGGCTCCTGCACGTCTGGCCCGCCTAGGCCGGAGCTGGAGAAGCAGCTGGAAAGCCGGACCGCCCCCTGGCGGGCCTGCGGAGGACAGGCCAGGGAAGGTGCCGGAAGTGCCTGGCGGTGCTGCCAGGAATGGTCTTCCTTGTGCAGGCACAAGGCCTCACGTGCACCTAACCCTACTCTATGCTCCTTCTGCAAGCTTCTTCCTGCTTTTTCAGTCTGCACGGGGGTGGGTTTTCTGTCTCCTATATAGAAGATTTGTACTGATCCCCTTCCAAAATGCCACTTTGGTCGGTGGAGTTTTGACCTCAGAACTTCCTGTCTTTGGACCAGAAATGGCCGAGATGGCATCGAGCTAAAGACATCGGTTCATCTGTAGAGACCTCTTCTCCCCTCTCCCCCATCCTACTCAAATGAGAAAGTTCAGGTCTCAGAGGTGAGGTAGGCAGGATGAATGTTCCTCCCAAGCTAAAATGTGTCTTGTCCATACTCAATTCTCTTTGTAATGAAGGGGACTGATTCTGTCACCTCTGCCCCGCTCAGCAAGTGTGTCCTTCCCCAAGCAAGGCCCCCAGGGGAAAACTTTCTGGGGTCTCACGCTCAAACAGGGTACACTTTGGAGGCTAGACTTTGTGGTGTTCTTTACCCCAAGACGACTTGGCCAGCTCATACTTGTAGAACACATGTCCGTTTTCCTTCTTCATTGAAACGACCCATCTCTTTCCTAAACATGTCTGTTTACCATGAGGTATGTGGAAAAGGGGGTGTATGGGATGAGCACATGGGGCCAAGGGAAGGGATATTTGAGAAATGACACCTTTCGTTCAATTTTGCTGTGAACTGAAAAGTGTTCTTTAAAGTCTATTAAAAACTGGGTGTGGTGCCCTGTGTTTATAATCCTAGTACTTGGGAGGTTCAGGCAGGGGGATGGACAGCCAGCCTGAGCTACATGAGCCACCCTGCCAACAAACAAACACACAAGACATCTGTTAAAATTTTTATGTGTGCTGGGTGGTGGTGGCTCATGCCTTTAAACACAGTACTTGGGAGGCAGAGGCAGGTGGATATCTGAGTTTGAGGCCAGCCTGGTCTACAGAGCTAGTTCCAGGATAGCCAGGGCTACATCAAGAGACCCTGTTTCAAAAGCAAAACAAATTATACTTGTATAATGATTTTGAAGAGAGAAAAATATTTGTCTTATAACAGCAAGTGCAAAATTATTATTGCTTTCTATAATTCAAGATGACAATAACTATATGCTGAAGGATACTGTTTTACTTTTTCGCAGGAGTTAAAGACAGGGTTTCTCTGTGTAGCCCTAGCTGTCCTGGAACTCACTTTGCAGACCAAGCTGGCTTTGAACTCACAGAGGTTCACCTCCCTCTGCCTCCTGAGTGCTGAGGTTAAAGGCACGCACCATCACTGCCTGGCTATGAAGGTAGAATGTTTAAGTGGAAGGTATGTACCCACCTAAGATCCTATTTTGTTAGCCCATGGAATGGACATCAAGTGATCGTTATAAAAATATTTAAGGTTCATTCTTGTGTGTTCATAGCTGCCAGAGTACAGAAGGCAAGCTCATGGCCTTTCTCTGTGACTCTATGATGTGTTCCTCATCAGCCTGCTTGCCTGTGTGCATGTGAGCATGCATGCGCGTGTGTGCGTGCACATGTGTGCGCGCGCATGCATGTGTGTGTGAGTATGTGTGTTGTGTGCCTGTGTGTGCGTGCGCGTGTGAATGTGTGTGCGTGTGTGCCTGTGTGTGTATGCGTGCATGTGTGTGATGCGAGGGATGGAACCCAGGGGCCTCACACATGCTAGATACACACTCTATTGCCAAGTTGACACCTCCACCCCCTGTTTATTATTCTATGCCTTTGTTGTTTGTCTCCACCTGGCAAGCTCAAGCCAGGCATGTACAAAAGAGAAAATCCACCACAGCCCTGCCCCTAAAGTCCAGGGTCAGAACCCAAGAGGAAGAAAGGTGGCGACTAGGCTCAGGGCTTGGATGTCAAGGACCTTTCTCTAGTCTGAAAACAATACCTGCTAGAGCACCCTTGGCTTCTTAGAGCAATGGCTGACGGGAAAGTGGGCCGTGCGCCAGCCTGAGAACTATCTTGGTCTCTGAAGAAGAAGGCTGGCTCTGCCTAGGACATTAGGAAACACAGGCTACCTCTCAGTTCTGTAGGAACACGCTAGGCGCTGACTGGAAGGAGCCACAGAGGCAGGACTGTAACCGACGAGTTCTGCCTTGGTTCCTCTATGACTCTACTGCTATGTCACGTGTGCCCCAGCTATCCTGTGTCACCTGAGGAAAACACAGACTAGACTGGTTGGGCAGCTTGTTCAAAGGACAGTGACACCAGTAAGCCAGCCCAAAGCCTTGGGCATTTTTGTTACAGTTTCTTGTTGTCCAGTTTGAGATCAACCCAGATTCTTAAAGAAACAACTTTTTATTACTGCCATCTTGCTCTCCTGCCCCCAGCCCTCTTCTCTCTCAACTTAGTCTGGAAACATTCAGTCACAACCTTCCCTTTCGAAAGACTAGAGGGCTCCAACCCTGCCTGGTGTGACCCACAAGTCTTCCAAGGTCAAACCACCCTCCCTAGGATTCTACCCCACAACCAGGGGAAAGAACTCCCTGTGCATCTGGGTCTTGGCCTGGAGCTCAAGACCCTTTGAGCCCCGCCCCCACTTCCCTCTGGCTCTCACCTGGCTGGTAGACAGAAGGCCGAATGCTGGCAGTGGTTACAACCCGGGGCTTGGGTGCAGGGGCAGCTGGACCCTCACTGTAGCTGGTGTGGGCAGAGGGTGCTGGAGAAGTGGCTGTTGCAGGGTTGTACGCAGAGGCCTGTGGCCTGGAACCAAGACAGAAGAGTTATAACAGGAACAGCCCATCAGTCTCTGGTACCTAAAGCCATGCCAGGTTTGTTATCTGATCTCTAGGCAGGACTATGACGGAAACACCCATGGGATGTTTCCAGAGTCTATGAAGAAACCAAAGGGTCTTAGAGGGGCGGAAGCTAGTCCCTGTGGCTAGTGCTGCCACCTTGGGAAAGAGGAAGGGAAGGAACCAGCCAGACCCATGGGGAGCGCTTTCTCCACAGAGGGAACTGCAGCAGTAGGACTATGGACCCAGGCAGAGGGAGGAGAGAGGGAGCTGGAGCTGGTCACAGCTACTCCCCTTTCTGCGACACCCTGGTTACCTGGTCTCCTCATCTTATTTCTTTATGTTGCTGCTGGTGGAAGCAATTGGTCTCATGTTTTTTTTTTTTGAGCAAAGTGTGACAGTGTTCACGTGAAGATGTGAGGAGGCCCAGGCAGCGCCCCAGCAAAACCACACTCTACTTAGACAGCTCTCTCCGCTTCCTCCTATTGGCTCAGCCTTTCCCACGTGTGGCTCCGCAAGGAGACTGTACAAAAGTGTCCCAGTTCTTTGCCCTCAGGAAATGCTGAACTTGGCCTCTCTCTTGGGGGAGCTGAAGGGTCCAGGAAGTTCCAGAGTCGGGCAGCTTATTTAATCTTGCCTGATGCAGTGTTTCCCGGTCTCACTTGTGTGTGAAATCCTTTTCTTCATTTCGAACTAATGAGGATCTTTCTCTCTTTACATGCTCTATATCCTAAAGGGGACACTTGACCATACCCAGCAAATGGGTCATTGGTGGGATGCTGGAGAAATGAACCCCTAGAAATATACCCCCAGCCTTTGGCATCCTGCACGTCTTCCATCTCTTCCCGATCGGCCCACTGGACCTGCTGGGCCAAGTTGTAGACCCTTCTTGCCTGGGTCTCTGCTAGGGATAGCGTTGGCACAGCAAGCTGCCGGCAATAACCTGAATGGATCCAGGGACATCTGCATCCGGTTCCGGGCAAGGTAAAGTAACCTCAGAGTCAGCATCCCAGACCTGGGCTATGCATCCTTCCTTCCCTTCCCACCACATTTATAGTTAAGGCTTCCCCTGCCCTGCTGTGGCTAGATCCCTGCGCTGATGGCAGAGGAGTAAGCACATTGGTGGAGAAGAAGACAGTATGCAAAGGGTGCCCAGCTTCTGGGTGACTGGGTGAGGCTACAGGTCAGTGGGTCAGAGGCAGACTTTCCTACCTCTGGGGGATACTTTGCCAGCATCATGGACTGGCACTGGGAAAGAAAGCTGAAGACGTCTGGAGAAGGTGCACATCCAGTGAGTGACCCTAGCGCTAGCTCCTTTGCCCACGTGCAAGGAAGGGAGGCATCTATGTTTAGAGTGTGCCGTCTGACCCCTCCTAGTGGAGCCCAATGCCCTGTGGGATACTGCTCTGCTCTCTTGGCAAGGTAATAAAGAGAAAGAATTCACCCTCATGGGGTGTCCTGAGGCCATCAGCAGTGCGTGGACAGGCCCAGACACGGAAGCCTGGAGCGTGGAGCTTGAGTTTGCCCTTCTGTGAGAGGCAGGGTTCATAGGCTTCAGCACCCAGCACCTCTCTTTTCCTAGGAAAGCTGGAAGCCTTCCCCACTCTCCACAACAGGAACAGCTCTCCCCTTTCATCAGAGTTCCTGTTCCGTGAAGAAGGTAAGACCTTAGTGAGAGTCTGCAGAGGGGAGGGGAGGCAGTTTGCTTAAGCCTGTCTTAGAAAAATGGTACGGACCACTCTGGCAGCCAGGACCAGGCTCACTCCCAGTGATTGAATTGGGCTGGAGAAAGGCTGGGCTTGGCACCACGTGGGATGCTGGGAAGCTGTTTCAAATTGCACCATGACCCTATACACCCTGACCCGAAGGGGCGTGTTTTCCTTGGGAACTGGGAAATCTGGGTCCTGGCTGAAAACAACTGAGCGATTCCTGGAAGCCTGGAAAGACAACTGGGCCAACCAACCCCGCTGCTGTACCAGCTGGCCACTCTGGAGTGACTCACCCAGCCTCCTTCTTCCTCCCCGCTGCATGCCACCTTCCTTTGGCCTCTGTTTTGGTGTTTTATAAACAAATCTCCCCAGTAATGACCTTAATATTCATGTACGCCTTTAGACCATAGCTGGTGAGGAAACAGATTAAGAACTTAACTTACTTTCTCAGGGTTGCAAATGGTAAAGCTCTTCACGGAGGGGAAGGTTTAAATACCATTGCTATAGGGACCTCCAATGTCAGACTGTTTCCACATCAAGAGAAGAGAGGATGAGGAGGCGGGCAAGTTAGTGGCTGAGCTGTCTGACCTGACTACGTCAACGTTCCCACCTCCGAGGAGCCCTCCCTGATTTCTTCCAGCGGTGGATGACTGTCACCTCCCTTTTCTGAGTTCTAAGAACAAAGACTGTGCACAGTGTTCCTTTCCTATGTGTTATTGTGTTCACATGTATATGTACATGAGTGTGTGAGCGTGTGTGTGTGTGTGTGTGTGTGTGTGTGTGTGTGTGACTTTTATCTGTCACTAGGGATGTCCCCAGGAGGGGGAGGTTGCAGAGCGACAACAAAACCCTCTCATAATCATGGCTGATGTACCCCAAGAAATGCATCCTGACTTCACCTTCACGCTCTGCACTGAGCAGTATCAGCCATGGCTTCCTGGGGAAACATCAGGGACCTAACTATTTGAACTTATCTGCCCACAAAGAGACTTAGGGTAGGTCTGGCATCTGTGAACCAGTTACCTGGGACTCTCCACAGGGCTCGAGGCAGGACCTGCAGCAGAGGCAGTGGCAGCATGGGCAGCAGCAGTTGTGGCCAGGGTTGGCGAGGCCGCAATGGGAGAGGCAGCAGCGGGCGGCTGGGCAGAAGCAGGCAGCAGCGGGGTAGTGGCCTGGCTGGTGCACACTGGAGCATGCTCAATAGGGGTGCTGATGAGGTGGGATCAAAAAGACAACAGGTCACATGGGCCTCAGGTCTGGCGAGGTCCTCTACGCAGTGTGGGGTGGGAGGGGGAGGATGGAAAGTGCCCTCTGTTCTGTATATAGAGCAGGATGCAAGCGTGTGTGAGGGCACGTCCTTCCGGTGCCCAGAAAAAGCTCCCCTCGAATCCCTGATCGAATGCCTGAGGGCATGATCAGACCTCAGGGAGGGGCCTGGCAACATAATCTTGGAGGGATGTTTACCCCTCAGTTTCTGGTACTTTCTGGTTTTTCTTTCTTAGCAAACTACAAGGCAGTGGAAAGCACACGAGTTATCAGACAGGTTCCCCCTGCTATCCAGGGTGCCTTTGCCTTTGCCTTACTGCTTGTACATCCAGTTGGGGGCATAAATTACATCTGGGGAAGGATTCTATAGCCCCCTCCCTCCCAGAGAAGATACTTGAGTGTGACAGTCATAGGCTGTAGAGCCACAAGAACACTGTTTTTAGCCCAGGGCACTGACAGCCCATCTGACTGAAGATGGACAGGAGTTATCATGGAAAGCAGACCAGAAGGGAGTAATGTGGTCAAGAGGGGTAGAGAAATTTGTGCCCCTTTTCATGACATATTCTGAAGAGGAGAGGCAGGACCTATGGGGAGGCCACTGGTAGACCCTACTGAGCTCATAGACCCTTATGTCACCAGGGAGTCTGGGTCTGCTGCATGTTCAAGAGTGACATGAACATATAGAGCTGAAGGCTCTTTCTCCTGGAAGTAGAGGGACAGCCACTCTGCCTGGTGGAGCAGTGTGATCAGGAAGGATGGCCATACCCAGCACCAGGCCATGCCAGGACAGGTAGACCAGATGCCCACATGCCTCCAACTGAATACTTGGATATTTACTGCAAGCCAGACTGTCCCTAGAACTCCTGTAGGAAGAGAGATCAGAGTTCGGATCGACAGGATTAGATCTGCTCCCTGAGAATGGGAGAGAAAATAAAAATTAATCATAGGTCTGGGGAGAGGTCTCAATCAGTAAAATGTTCACCACTTAAGTATGAGAATCTGAATTCAGATCCCTAGCATCCACCCAAGGAACACAAAAAGCCAGGTGCAGCAGCCTGCAATTCTAGCACCAAGAAAACAAAGACAAGAGGATCTCTGGGGCTTGCCAGTCAGCTAATCAGTGGGAAACCCTGTCTCACAAACTACAGTAGATAGCAGTTGAGGAAAACACTTGGCTTCCAGAGACACACAGATAAATATGCATGTGCACCCCTTCCTCAAAAAGCACTCACTACAACCCCGACCCTCCTACACAAGTCATGAGAAAGCAGAGAGATACACACCCTATCCTTTCCTACCTCCCCGCCCCTTTTAAAGTAGTTGGTCGCTAACACCTGTATTCAGGTGACTCTCCTGCTTTAGCTTCCCTGTTAGTTAGGGCCACAGGAAAGTACCACCATACCCAGCTCATTCTCAGATCTTTGATTAACATCTCTCTTTGTCACAATAGTTGACAAACTAAATGCCTAAGCCCCAGAACCATGTGATTTATTTACTCACGCTATACTATTTCCGCCATTATGCCTTTAATATCTCACGGAAGCCCCCTGACGGGGTAGAGTCAGCCCTATTTAATAAGTGAGTAAATGGAAACAGAATCCATCTTCTCAAGGTTCTGGAACTTAGCCATGAGAACAAAATGGACTGAGGGTCAATTTGATTTGAAGCCTTAACCAATATCCCACAGAGGAAGAAAGAAACCTCTTCTTGTGGTCAGCCAAGTACACTCTGTTTCCGATGAAAGGCTGATTCTCACTGGACCCAAGTAACATCTCAGCACTTCCCTCTTCAAGTTCCACAGTGCCCGTGTTAGCCCATTCTTTCTTTTATACTTCCAAACTCCGTGAAGATCAGTTTCATAGGTCTCACGTGGAGATGAGGAACCTGGGGTTGAGAGACGTTGTCTCTCTAGCGAAACAGCACATAGCTAGGTAGACCAGTTATCCTAGCATTTGGGAGGCGTTGCGAGTCTGAGGCCAGCCTGGGTTACATACAGTGAGTTCCAGGAGTACCTGGGCTATATCATAACACCTTGTCTCAAAACAAACAAGCAGAAAAACATCACACACCAGTTTCTAGTTTGTTGAGTTTGAGTATGGTTGAGTCTAATTTCAAGTAAGCTTCCTGGTAATGCTGAGCTGTTGATGGACCACACATGGAGTAGCAAATTGTAGATATCTCTATCTGTGCCAGATATGAATGCAAGGAAGCCACAAGGTGCTTACCAAAGCATCTCATAAATTGATCTCCATCCAGGGAGAAAGGAAGAAAGTGCAAAACTGAATACAAGGATGAGAGCTAGAGAAATAACAAAGTTATGGGCTGGCTACCCCATACTGAAGAGCGTATTCCAATGGGTAAGGATCTACGTCCTGCCCAGGACTTTCACGGCTTAGTTGTCAGATAGGGGGGCCTTGGGCAGTGATGTCCTTGGCACCTCTGTGAAGCCCCTTGCCCATCCTCTGAAACACGTTGTCCCTGAAAGTCATAATGATTACGTGGCTACCTCAGAGAAACTGCTGAGCTGACTGTTTGAGGCCTACTCACAGGGTGGCCAAGTATGGGAAGGCTCAGGATGACACAGACCATTGTGCCCCTCCCTGTACCATCTGACATTTCCAGTGGACCACTGGCAACTGAAGACCCTGTTCAGGATGAGAGTGATGGAAATGTCCAGGTGGGACTGTCTGTCCCCTTTGTTCCAGTGTGCTACCAGGCAATAACTTTGGAGTTGGATGTAGACCCCAGGAAAATGCACCATTGACCACGGGGCTGAGACAAAGGTCACTATTAGGGATGCATGGGCGCACACATGCACCTGCTACTCTCAGTTCTTGCTGAGAGCATCCTATCTAGGATCGCCCTCTGCAGACAGTCATCGGGGTCTAGAGAGGGGAGAAGAGACATCAAAGTCCATCCTGAAGGATCTTTGGTTCTTGTTCCACGTCAGTTTCTGCATGAAGATCCACGAGTCTCCAGAAATTCCAAAAAGCAGACGTCAGCAAGCAAGCCTTTCAGAGAACTCACATAACCTTGACTTTAGTCCTAAAGAGAGTGCCCATAAGATCACCCCGGCCTGGCTTACAGTTCCACAGTCGCTTCCTTGTCTTTGTCATACATTCAGATTCCTTTTTCCATTTTTCAAGTTTTGGTGTTGGGGATAGAACTCAGGGCCTTATATATGCGCTAAGCACACACAATACCCCCAAACCCATAATTCAGTTTAGGCAACTAGTTAAAAAAAAAAAAACAACCAAACAATCAAAATAAACTCAGATGGTCTTGGATGCCTAAGAGAGAGCGTGGCCAGACAGCACTGTTAGCTGCAGCTCCTCTTCCAGCCCGTGTTGTCCTCTGTCTGGAGGTGTCAAGGTGGGCCCGCTCCTTCAGTCTGCATGATGGCCCTTGGTGGTGGGAACCGGAGTTCTGCTGACTTTGTGGTTGATGACTAGGGCGTGTCTGGAACAGAGGGGGTGATACTTGCGGAGGTGTCAGGGTTTGGGGGTTTGTGGTCTCTGGACTCAGGTTGGTGCTGTTGGTGATGGTGATACTACGATTGGTCCTGGTGTGAAAGGGGATTTGCCACAATTAGGATGTCAACGCTGCTCTGCTTGTGTTAGCTAAGACACTGAAGTACGACAATTTCCATTCATTGGGTGATGAGAGAATGTCATTCGGGTGTTGATCATAATTTTTTTTTTATGTTGCCACCCCCCTGGTCGACATTCTATCTTTCATCCTGGTACTATAGCACAGGGGAGTTCAGCTATGCCACTTGTAATGAGGCCAGAGCCTCCGTTACACCATGGCCTTGGTGAATCTTGCTATCAGCTGCAGTGGGAATAGTGCCCTGAACCTTTGCCCATTCCACCCTGCCTTCAAAATATGTTCCAAATCTTGTAGCTTGGAACTCTGTATCTGGATCCCAGCTCTTTATGACCGTCTTTGCAGACTATGCATCCTGGTCAAAATGACGATACTGGGATCTCCCGTCCCTTTCTTTGCCTCAGCATCTCTGTGCCCTCCGAGTAGATGCCAAGTCAGCCCTGTCTATACATATCACACCCCTCAAGACCATGAACACTAACCTCTTCCAGGAAGCCTTATCCCTCCAGTTAGAAGTCCCCTCCTCCTGGAGTCCACAATATCAACGCTGTATTGTGGTTAGAGTTACAGTGTCCCTTTCTGAGTCTGTTAGCATTCACAGTAGCCAGGCGCCTCACTCACAGACACAGGGTGCTGCTAACTGAAGAGAACCTCTGTTTACTCTGAGGGCCCTTAACCTGGAGCCTGGAGAAGCTGAGAGGCACCAGGATGCTAGGAAGCAAGCAAGAACATTTTAGTGTTTTAACTAAGGCACTCCAGAAGATCACTAACAGTCTCAGGACTGGGGACAAGAGGTTTAGAGTCCAACAACTTGGGGTGATCTCCTCAGGTCCTTCCATTCACGGGATGCCCACTGCCTGGAACCACTGCTACCTCTCTGTGTCTGGCACCTCCGACCCTACAACCTCCTCTTGGGCCTTGCAAGTCATCAGTCCAAATACGGGTGAAGGTAGACATCTCTTGTTCTCCCCAGGTGTGTCCCCGGTCACGGTGACCATTGTTTGGACTTGCCCTGGCCCTGGCATCAGGTCGTTAGAAGAAGGAAGGGTGGGAGGTGGCTAAGGAATAACAGGCTAGGAGAACATCTCAGGGGTGGAGAGGAGTGAACAGCTTCCCTGGCTGGCCATCCCAGGTGAGCGCACCAGAGAGAAAGTGTTTTCAGACAGCAGGGGGTGGGAACAGGGTTCCGGCCATCCAGCCTCAGTGGCTGTGGGGCATCCTGAAGGTTGGTCCCCTGTATCTCCTTCATTTTCCAAATGCCATTGTCCTTATGTTCTCAGCCTATGACCTCATGGAGCGAGGGACTAGGTTGCTTGCTGGGCAGGTAGGTGAAGTAT